CCAGACAAAAGGACACATTTCCATCGGTCTAATGTCCATTGCTCATGTTTCTTGGTCCAAGCAGGTCTCTCTTTCTTATTACATTTACATTTTAGTAGACGCTCTTATCCAGAGCGACTTACAGTTAGCACATACATTATTTTATCGAACCCACAACCCTGGCGTTGCAAACGCCATGCTCTACCAACTGAGCTACATCCCCTGCCGGCCATTCCCTCCCCTACCCTGGACGACGCTGGGCCAATTGTGCGCCGCCCCATGGGTCTCCCGGTCGCGGCCGGCTACGACAGAGCCTGGATACGAACCTGGATCTCTAGTGGCACAGCTAGCACTGCGATGCAGTGCCTTATACCACTGCGCCACATTGGTGTCCTTTAGTAGTGGTTGCAGCAATTCGACCATGAAGGCCTGATTCACACAGTCCCCTCTGAAAAGTTGATATAGTTGAGATGTGTGAACTCTATGAAGCATTTATTTGGGCTGCAATTTCTGAGACTGGTAACGCTAATGAACGTATCCTCTGCAGCAGAGGTAACTCTGGGTCTTCCATTGCTGTGGCGGTCCTCATGAGAGCCAGTTTCATCATAGCGCTTGATGGTTTTTGAAATGTTCCGTATTGACTGACCTTCATGTCTTAAAGTAATGATGGACTGTCCTTTCTCTTTGCTTATTTGAGCTGTTCTTGCCATAATATGGACTTGGTCTTTTACCAAATAGGGCTATCTTCTGTATCCCCCCCTACCTTGTCACAACACAACTGATTGGCTCAAACACATTAATAAGGAAAGAAATTCCACAAATTCCACACATTAACTTTTAACAAGGCACACCTGTTAATTGAAATGCATTCCAGGTGACTATCTCATGAAGCTGGTTGAGAGAATGCCAAGAGTGTGCAAATCTGTCATCAAGGCAAAAGGTGGCCATTTGAAGAATCTCAAATATAAAATATATTTTGATTTGTTTAACAATGTAGAAAATAGTAAAAATAAAGAAAAGCCCTGGAATGAGTAGGTGTGTCCAAACTTTTGACTGGTACTTTACATATTGGTTCCTTTCATGTGTGTGTCCTGATCTTATTCTGTGAGTGTTCAGACTGGGCTCTGAGGCAGGCCAGGGCCTGTGGCCATGATCAATAATCAGGTGACCGTGGCCGCTAGCCTTGATCCTAATTAGCCTAGCTTTAGATGCGATTAGCCTGCACCTGAGCCCCATTCTCAGTCTTAAAAACAACTCCCTCCCAATCAGCCTCACTACCCAGAACCCCTAGCATCAGCCCAATACAGGGACAAGCATCTGGGCAGGCAGGGACAAGACACCTCACTTCATGCACCAGATCTCTCTCTTCACAGTAATGTTGAAATACTGTTTTTTTACACAGTCACAGTTTGTCTTGTAGGTGATCCAAATCATATCTATTTTTACTAAGCTACCATGCTCTTTGAATAGGTTATAATCATGGGGTATTTTTGCTGACCTGGATAGCTCTGACAGTCCTGTCAGTCTGCATAAAGAGAAACATGAGTGTTCCCCCCTCCTTACCAATCCCTGGCAAAGACATACACTCTGAAGTACACACTCTCACACACACTCCACCGACCCCAAATACCACCTTCAACCATTTCAAAACGCAAACACTCCAAATAGATACGTCATCAAGTCACTTCACCAGATTCAACATGCTCAGTTTGTCTCACTTTTTTTTTTCTAACTCTCACACACAACACACACACATTTCAGCCGGTCTCCTGGTCAATCTACTTTATCGTTCAAAGAGACGCAGGGATATTTGTAGAACTGATACCAATGATGATGGCTCTATTAACCTGCAGGCTGCTGGGTCAGACAGGGACCTTTACACATCTACCATCTCATCCCTTGCTCATCCCTCCCGTATCCCACTCTCCTGCATTCTTGTATGACCTCCAGTCACTGCCAATATCACCACTCACACTCCAGCAGGCCTGCTCAATTGAGGCTTAAAATGACTATATCATCCTATATCTATCAACGCAAGAAGAATCTAATCCTCTAGTCTATTTCATGGGTTATTTTTATGATGTGAAAAACAAATTTCACCTCACTCCTGACATTAGACACACTGTTTATAGAAGGCAGAGGATAAGAAAACATCTAAGGAAAAAGATAAGGAGAGTAGGAGAAAGGTTATGATGATAATCATCAATGATAATTAACATTATAGTAGGAGATTCAATATGGCTGCCAGAAGGAGGATGTAATTTGGCCTTTAATTGTGGGTAAAGAAATGAAGCAGAGAGAAGCCATGAAGAAAAGGGAATTATTCCTTAATGAATGGGAAATGGGATGGGGTATTTTTGGACGAGATGATTCTAAACAGGGTTCTGATGTATGTGTTTATTGTGTGTTTGCTTCCCTTGGTTGCCTGTGTGTGTCAGACGCTAATTTGATGAGAGCGCTGGGTGCATGGTGGGCATGATATGAGCTGGCCCTGCATGACTCCTCGCTCACACACTCGCGCACACACTCACACAGTCTGTTCGAGGTTACAGCCTGCCTGTTCGGATGAACAGATTGACGTGTAGGGACTACGGACCAGTAGGCCTACAACAACATTATTATTGATTAAGTTTATTTCACAATGCTAAATAATCAACATTTCTGTAAATCTGTCAGATTTAGCTATTTCAAAATCTCACGAATGAATTAGAAATGCCTTATGCACAGACATAGTAATAACCTCCCAATCCTCACTGACATCTCCATGACATCCTAATATACACAGTATGTCAGTTTCTGCCATCATAACTGTGTGTTTTACATGAATTAGCGTGGAACTTCAGCTCTCTTAGTGATTCATAATAACCTCTCCCCTCGTCCTCTCTCATTAACACTGGGGACTCATGTCATTAAGTCTGGACATTCACACTGGGGTACATAGACAAACACTGGGACACACAAACTGGGACACACACACATGCAAGCACACACACACATACACACAGTGCTCAGGTAACCTCCCTGTCAGTCTCTCCTTCCCCTCTCCTCTTGTCAACCAGGCCTATAAGAACAGATTCAGACCTTGAAACAGATGGAGACTGTCTCACACAATATGTACTAACCTCAGCCATCAACAACCAATCAACATTAAGGAGCCAGGCAGACCCACCTCTGAGTAAACATGCCTGCATTATTTTGGGATGTTTACCGTGGTCTCTCTTTTCCCATCTTTGTGGATGTTTTCTATAATACATTTTAAGTGAGGTCCTGTCCTCTGTATGATGTTTTACCTTTGACCTTGTGTTGTAAGAGAGGTCTGTCCTGCTTGGACCTTAGCAGCCAAATCCTCTCCCCATAGTCATGCCTCCACCTCATGCTCTCTCTGGTTTCACTAGGTTTCTCACTCACTCAATAGATCAATACAAATGGAGAGTAATTTGAGAATACATAGAGGACCAGATAAATAACTAAAATAGCTTAAACAGGGTCATTCAAGGACGAGGATTCTGCAGTCAATGTGGCAAGTAGTTCACACCTACATTAGCTTTTATTTTACAACATTACGATGGTCCAAATGAGCTCCCTGGTTTTGCTATCTACCGAAATACTGCTAGTGTTAACTTCACCTTGAGCAAAGCAAAACATTGTCCCAGAAGAACACAAATCTATATTTCCTCTCACCCATGCATACTAAGTAAGAGATGGCCTGACTGAGTGACTGCAGACTCTCCTGGCTACTCTGTCTGCTCAGAGTAGTTTTTTATTGAATCTACAGTCTACATACTGGCATCTACTGTTAGCTTTGGGAACTCAAACTCCCCCAATTATGTATAGCCTATTATGAAAACAGTGCACTGAGAAAACTGCAGTAATGATACCATTGCGAGAGAGAAAATTACAAAAGTAATGCAAATGAATTCATAATGTTGTTGACAGTATTATATTTTGAAGCATTGCATAAGATCTCATCACGTTGCATTAAAGCAAAAACACCTAAAGTAGCTAGCAGTAGTTGTAAAAAAGTACAAATACAATCAAGTACATACTTGGTTCGGCATACAACATTTCCAACAACAGAGTTATTGTGCGTGATTAGGCAGAACAATCTATTCAATGAGTAATACACATTATAAATGTTAAAGGGATACTTTGGGATTTTGGCAATGATTTTATCAACTTCCCCGGAATCAGATGAACTCATGGATACCATTTGTATGTCTCTGCATGCAGTATGAAGGAAGTTAGAGGTAGTTTCGTGCGCGAATGCTAACTAGTGTTAGCGCAATGACTGGAAGTGTATGGTATCTACTAGCATGCAAGCAGTTACCATAGATTTCCAGTCATTGTGCTAACGCTAGATAGCAATTGCACTAACGATAGTTAGTAACTTCCTTCAAACTGTATGCAGAGACATAACATTTGTATCCACGAGTTCATCTTACTCTGGGGAAGTAGATAAAGGGCTTCATCCTGAAGTATCACTTTAACACATTCTCATGCCATATAACCAAAGTATAACTACTGATAGATATTGATATGGTAAATAGGGTATAGGGACGGGAATACAATAGGGCAGGCTCAGCAATAGCCAGTTCAGTGAACTGACTCTCTCTCTGTGACCTTGCTATGTACTTGAGGTTCAAAGCATGTATTTGGTCATGGTTGTGTGTATTTGGCCAAGGTTCTGTAAACAGCTGGCCAGGCACATGGATTAGGTATTGTACTGGGTTGTAGTTAATACAGTTCACAAGGGAAATGGTGTCAAAATGTCCTCCATAGAGAGTAAGAAAAGCATTCAGGTATATGATTATATTACAGTATGCTATAAAAAATAATATGATCTGATCTCATGAGCTACATCAGCATGTTATATAATGTGTGTGTGTGTGTGTGTGTGTATGTGTAGCATGTACAGCATGTGCACTGACCTCATTAATGCCACACACACAGAGCAACCAGCAAAGCCTGTACATCTGAAATATACTGAATTAACAGTGAGAGAGAGAAATGTATGCACAGATGACTGTAAGTCGCTTTGGATAAACGCGTCTGCTAAATGGCATGTATTATTATTCTATTATGATATATAAAGAAATGATACCCTCAAAACTCTGTGGAGAAGAAAAAACATTTGCCCATTCTATATCAAGAAATACTTCAGAATACCTCTCCTTATTTCAGCTGAATATGCAATTTTCTGCCTTTCAAGAAGAGACAATAACACATAACATCTCAGTTCCAGTTTAGTTAACCTAACAAGTATCAAGTATCCAGTAAGACTACCCCTCTCTACTATTCAGTCTTCTGTTGCAGACAGCAGAACTCCCTCCACCAAGAATTCCTGTTTGAAAGTGTCTTAAGGCACGGTTTTTGGATAAGGGAATAATCAATGTGGAATCGAACAGCCCGGAGTGGATATGGGAGGAGCCCCAGAGGTCGTACCCCATCAGACCTCGCCCCTTGACCCTCAGATGTCTTCAGACTCGTGACGCGCCAACGCCAGGGGTAGCGTGGCCCCACACGGGCCCTTGAAATGGTACCTGTACAGCAGCACCACACACACACACACACACACACACACCAAATACCCGACAAAGCAAGGATAAAAGGAGAAATCTGAGAAATGCTCACCAGTGTCTCCCTAAGGAAGTGTTACAAAGGACTTCAAGATGTTTGGTTCTTAATTTCCCTGTTGTGCAAATAACTGACACACATCTGATCATATCAGATCTAAGACCAAAGAGCTAATAACGCTGACTGATTTCAAACCTTACAAACTGTGTGATGCAGTAGAATCATGAATAAAACACATTTTATCAGGCTCTGTTTAGATGAAGAATCCTTATTTGATTAAACATATCCCATTTGACTTTTTAAAAAATGACTATTTGACTTCACAAAATTGATTTGTATTTGTGTTTTTTACATCAAAAAAAGTAATTGAAAATCCCAAAATAAACTTATTACAACAAAAACATGTAATTTTCTAATAGTGGTAGGATGTGACTTACGTGAAGCGTGTGGTCTCAGAGGTGGTGTCAATGTTGAACTCTGCTACTGGCACGCCCCTGGACGCCACCTGGGGGGCAAACATGGCTGCCGGGTACACTATGGAGGAGGTGCCAACCTGGGGGCAGATAGAGGGCATAGGCACCAGCAAAGCCATTTAGGAGAAATATATGTATACTATACATTGGTCTGAACATCAGTTTCAGGTGTGTGGTGATTTATATCAGGCTCTGTCTCTACAGTGTATTACAAAATCTCATTACATACTAAAGTGTGTATATAAAGAAGACATTTTCTAAAGATTACGATACATAGCAACAACAAGATCTCCAGCAACTATGAGGCCAACTCACCACCAGACACAGATCACAGGTGTCCAGCACCGTCTCCACCTTGGTCAAGACGTGTGAGTCTAGAGTTTCCCCGAACCAGGTCACATTGGGCCTGAGCAGACCATGGCAGTCACTCTTCTCACACCTGCACATAAAACCACCAAGGGATGACATCATCAGTCACATGCAGGCAAACATCACACATAACAGGTGTATGGTTACTTAGGATTGAGAAGAGGTGAAGTTAAAAGCAAATAATACTCTACTGCCACCATGTGGAAAATATTTTATCACTGTGGCTTGGATTTTCTGTGGTTGATCTTTGTACAAAAAAGATGTCAAAAGATAGACAGAACCAAACTAATCCCCACCTACCTTGGTAGCTCCTCTGGGGGAATCTTGGCATCACTGGTATCTGGGTCAGGAGAACTGTGGAACAAATGAATACAACAATTGTTCTAAAAGTCAAGTTATACATTCAATGTAGAACATTCGCCTGAGCAGGTGATTGTCCTTTACTGAGGGGCTGTAGTGCTGCTTACCCTTTCCCCTCTAGGGCAGCACATATTGGACTGCTCTGGTTCACAGCCACATGTCCACAGCTCACACAGCGCGTCTCAAACAGACTTCCTGATGATTCATAGGGGAGGAAAACAGAACTGAGCACCATCCAGACACTTTGGAGAAGTCTCTCAAAAACATGCTGATAATGACAACATTTGTCCAAGTTATCTTATGTTCAACTTTTGACAACTAGCTTTGGCAACCACCACTAGAGCAAGGGCTAATTATTTGAGTACATCTTCTGAGCTTACTTATTAACAATGGAGCCTCTCTTGAAACAGTGCCTTCTTTCTAAAACATTTTTGCCTGTGGCCTTGTCTGAACCAATCCCTGCTGCCCAGCCCTTTCCAGCCCTCTCAAAGGCCCACCTAGCCCTCTCCCAGCCCCAGCCCCAGCCCTCTCACCGTGGATCTTGAGGACATGTCTGGATCCGGCCTGGCGGTGCAGATCGTCTATGACCTGGGTGATGACTACGACAGAGCGGCCCTGCTTCCTCAGCCGGGCCTCACACTCTGCAATGGCCAGGTGGGCTGCATTGGGCCCCTTACTCAGCATCACTTCACGTCGGTAGTGGTAGAACTCCCACACCAGGGAAGGGTTCCGAAAGAAGGCCTCAGGGGTGGCTATGTCCTGTGGACAGAGATGGACAAGGACATGGGTGGGGAGGGTTAGGGGTCAAAGTTCACAGGGCAAGGAGGTAGAGTCTAAGGGGTCAGGGTGGAGATGGATGGGATAAGTCTACAGTGTTAGGGGCAGGCTGGATGAGAATATGTGACTAGGTAAAGAGCAGGTGGGAGGACTGGGTCAAAGTTAGAGCAGAGAACAGCAAGGCACGTTGAGTTGTAGATTTAGAGATCTCAGGGAAAAAAGGAACAAAATAAACATGACATTTTCACATATTTAACAGTGTGAACAAGCTCCCATAAATAAACACTTGGGGGCACAGGATGGAACAAACACAACTTGAAGGTTTGTTTTGATTCTCTCTCTCTCAAAGTGAATCTCTAATGAGACTGTCCTACTTAGATTAACTGATACTGGCTGCAGCTCCTTAGCTCTCCCTGGGAACCGCACACAGTAACCGTGGTTACACAAGTAACCCTCCCCCCTCCTCATTGTTGTTGTCATGACAAATCCATTGATACGGGAGGACACTCCCCTCCGTATGTACTTGGACAGTGAAGCTAACATTTTAAATGTGGCTCTATACTCCAGCATTTTGGATTTGAGATCAAATGTTTCATATAAGGCGACAGTACAGAATGTCACAATGACAACATAAAGCTTGTGACTACAAACTTGTTGGATGCATTTACAGCTTTGGTTCTGTTTGGGATTATGTTTTGTCCATTAGAAAGTCAATGGTGAATAATGCATTGTGTAATTTTGGAGTCACTTTTATTGTAAGTGACAATAATAATAATTTGGTGGGCGCTTATATTTGTCCTATTTCACACATGTACAAGTGTTTATACAACGGGTAGTTTGGAATTCCCATAGAGTCTATCCTGCCCATGATATACTAGACATTATACAACGGGTGGGTCTAATCCTGGATGCTGATTGGTTAAAACCGCATTACAGCCGGTGTCTATTCCAGAAGTTACCACCGGTTAAAACTATGACGTTGAAATGCCAATTTACTCTGTTCCATCTCACTGCGCAATTCACTGTCTCATCAGCCCAGCCAGGCAATTTATAATCTTGAGCTTCATTATTAAAAGCGTCGAGACATTATCTCCCATTTATTTTAGACTAGCATTTGATTTTAAACAGCGGAGATTTGTATAAACCTTGCCATCTTTCTCTTCGACATTTGCAACATTGTTTCAATATTGAAATTCGATCTCTAGCTGTCCCATAGTAATGAATGTGTCGGGAGTCGAGACAAGACAGATAGCTTTTCTCAGCCACTCGAAATCATGAATCAGCTGGCATAATTTTTATGGATATATACAAAGAAATGTCAATAGAAAACAGGTCAAATGAAATGAAATGCAGCTTTTTTTTTGCCATAGCAACCTACAAAGTTCTAGAACTATAAACCAACACTTGGGTAGTTTTGCTTTACATGGCAGTCAATACGAATAGAACTAACGATCAGAGAACACCTAAAATTGCAATTGACAACCAGTGTTAGTGAATGTAACACCACGTTTTGTGGAAAAATGTACGGTTCGGGAAATAATCTTGCTTTTTAATGCTGGTAACCCATTGCATAAAAGCAATAATACACTCAAGCCCATGTGTTATGGTAAAAATGTTACATGCATGTGTGAATTGGAAATGTGTTTTTTGCATATCCCAACTCCCCCTGAGACACCCTCGAAGAGTGTGGTCACGGTCATGAATTAAATGAATTGTGAATGATGATGAGTGAGACGGACAAATATCATACCTCCCATAAAAAGCTAAATTACTCTGCTATTGGTCATCGTGAGAGGTAAGCATGTTTTGTTGTAGCCTTTGTAACTTTCTTGTATCATTATTCATTCATGATTTTTCTTAATTGTTCAGAAACATCTTATTTATTCACTTAGAAAGAAAATGACTCTAGTCATCATTTCCCATTCAGTTCCAATTGGGCAAAACATAATCAAAAACACAACCAAACAAACTGCAAATGCATCCAACGAGTTTGTAGTCACAAACTTGATGTAGTCATTGAATGCTAGGAATATGGGACCAAACACAAAATGTTTGACTACTTTAATACCCTATAAGTGAATTTGTCCAATTACTTATGACTTCTTCAAATGGGGGGACTACATATATAAAGTGCTTTCATTTCTAAACGGTAAAACAGAATAAAAGGTAACATTCTGTACTGACGGCTCATATGAAATATTTGATGTCATATCCAAAATGCTGGAGTATAGAGTCAAATGTAAAATTGTAGCTTCACTGTCCAAATACATATGGAGGGGAGTGTTTATAGCATTATTTAATTTTAATTTTTTTATTTCACCTTTATTTAACCAGGTAAGCCAGTTGAGAACAAGTTCTCATTTACAACTGCGACCTGGCCAAGATAAAGCAAAGCAGTGCGATAAAAACAACAACACAGAGTTACATATGGGGTAAACAAAACTTAAAGTCAAAAATACAACAGAAAATATATATACAGTGTGTGCGAATGTAGTAAGTTATGGAGGTAAGGAAATAAATAGGCCATAGTGCAAAATAGTTACAATTTCGTATTAACACTGGAATGATAGATGTGCAAAAGATGATGTGCAAATAGAGATACTGGGGTGCAAATTAGCAAAAATAAATAACAATATGGGGATGAGGTAGTTGGGTGGGATAATTTCAGAATGGCTGTGTACAGGTGCAGTGATCGGTAAGCTGCTCTGACAACTGACGTTTAAAGTTAGTGAGGGATATAAGAGTCTCTAGCTTCAGAGATTTTTGCAGTTCGTTCCAGTCATTGGCAGCAGAGAACTGGAAGGAATGGCGGCCAAAGGAGGTGTTGGCTTTGGGGATGACCAGTGAGATATACCTGCTGGAGCGCAGACTATGGGTGGGTGTTGCTATGGTGACCAGTGAGCTAAGGTAAGACGGGGATTTGCCTAGCAATGATTTATAGATGACCTGGAGCCAGTGGGTTTGGCGATGAATATGTAGTGAGGGCCAGCCAACAAGAGCATACAGGTCACAATGGTGGGTAGTATATGAGGCTTTGGTGACAAAACGGATGGCACTGTGATAGACTACATCCAATTTGCTGAGTAGAGTGTTGGAGGCTAATTTGTAAATGACATCGCCGAAGTCAACAATTATGTAAATGTATGTGTGTACATGAGCATGACAAGATTGTGAAATTAAAGCCTGTAGGTCTATATATGTCTGTTTTACATTACCTGAGACTGCCATTTCCTCCAGTAGCCCGCAGCACCCCTAAAGGTAGGCACCCCACTCTCTGCACTCACACCTGCCCCAGTAATGATGGCTATGTGCCTGGCTTTAGAGAAGATATTTCGGAATTCTGACATATCTACAGAAGAGAAAAATTAATACATTAACAAGAGCCATTAGAGCAGGGATGGGAAACATTGACGGGGTGGGGTGCCACAAAAACCTGAAATCATCATGAGGGGCCGCAGTGGCTCGCTGGTCTGCAAACCCACACATGCAGTCAGAGCCAGCCCTAGCCTTTTGGGGGCCCCAAGTAAAATGTTGTTGGGGGGGCCCGCCCCGCCCACCTTGGGAACAAAACATTTTCTCGGCCCCACTCTTGACAGCGGAAATAAATAAAAAATGTTTTAGAGTTAATTTCCAGCAATTCTATACATTTCGCCATGGGGCGGAGAGAAGATTTAGCAATTTTATAACACATTTCATGCAATTTTACTCATTTTGCCATGGGGCAGAGAGAAATGTTTGCAGTTTTGAATATGATAGCTGAGTGAGAGTGACTAACAAAATCAATTGGGGCCCCCTGGTTGGTAATTCGACCATGATTACTACAAGTTTAGACAGCTGGCTAGACTAAATTAGCAATCTAAAAATGTTTAGCTGACATGGGCTAATTGAGTGACTGTCAGTGACTGACATAACAATAGAAAAACTGCTGATGCCCAACCAAATGTATTTTTTTGTTTGTTTTTTTTGTTTGGGGGGGCAATTATCCACGGGCTTAAGACTGTTCACTCAGCAGCAGCAGCCTAGGCCTACTATTTAACACTAGAATGTCAAGCCAATGTATGGAGAGCACTACATGCCAGTAGGAAAGGAGGAACTTCTGAATTCAGATCATGCATGTGGTAGGACCTTACCTGAACTGGCAGACCTGGTCATCTCTACCAAAGGCCCACGTGTCACTGGAGAAGTCACGCGAGGACCAAGTCCAATTGAAACTAGATGTCGAAGAATCATTGTCACTACAGCTCTGTACGAGAAGACAGAAAGTTAGGATAATTATTTTCTGACTTCTTAGGAAGTCAGATGGACAAACTATATAATTACACATTTGCATTCATAAACTCTTAAGGCCACGGTCATTTATACATGTACCCTCATCCTGTCATTTAGTTGTTTGAATGTGGGAATGAGAATTGTCACCAGTGCCTGATCAATGTCAACTGGCTGCTATATAAATATTTACTTGTTACATTTTACATCGCGTTGTGCATGACAGGCTTGCATTTGAACAACAAGTTTTGCGTGGGCATAGGCTTATGCATTCTGAATGGTGTTTAGGCTACAACGTGTCCCAACCAGCACAGTCTACACAATAAGTTTTACAAGTTGATTGTCATTGAGCAAACTCATTCAAATCAGCTGTGGCTCGTAAATCAAATATTTCTATAAAAATGTTGAACGGAGTATTGAAGAAATAAATATATAATTTCCTCAACGACAGCCGACATTTCTAAAACGTTGAAAACAGGGACATAAAGAAGAGCCATCTTGAATTCTAAAAGTAGCTAAATTCCAAATGTCAGGATAAAAATGTTACATGCAGGCAAATAAGTTGTACAACGATCACTACATTGAATTGCCTTGTTCAGAATAACTCGAGTTCATACATACCCAGCAGTTACCAGATGCCGAGGCAAAGTTTGTTTACTTTTCTTACTGTATTTAATTTGAAAACCCGTAAAGACTCCCTTGCTGTCGCAAAGCATTGAAGATTCCGCTCCAAAATCCACTACTGAGGGGAAAGTTGTAGGCTACTTTAGTTTATAGTGCCATCTGGTGGTGTAAAAAAATTGAATTTTATCTCTCCCGACCTCAGACAAGATTTGTGTTCTTTCTTTCTTTCTTTCTTTCTTTCTTTCTTTCTTTCTTTCTTTCTTTCTTTCTTTCTTTCTTTCTTTCTTTCTTTCTTTCTTTCTTTCTTTCTTTCTTTCTTTCTTTCTTTCTTTCTTTCTTTCTATCCACTTGCTGATACATCCATACAGGAGCCTATATTTATAATTTAACTCCACAAGTCGGCATTGGATAGGCTATTTTGAAAATGTAGGCCATTTACTTGATTATTAATTATTTTTTGCCTCTATTCCATTCTCATTCCCATCTGTCTGCTGTTGGGTTAAGGAGCTTTGTAGTAGCGGCTCCACCTCGCTTCAAAAGTCACATCTCCCTCTCCGGTCTCTCCCCATTCCATTTTTCCCCTCCCCATCAGTACCTCCTCGTGAGCGGCCGTGGCTCTGTGTCTGTCCCAACACGCCAGTCGTCACTGGACGCTGCTCAAATTGATGGCGGCTTCTCCGGAGGATCATGTAGACCGCCGGCCGATCAGGAGAGTCCGGTCCAAGAGCGATACCCCTTACCTCGCCGAAGCCAGAGTTTCCTTCAACCTGCACACAGGTAGGTTGCTTCTCACGTTTGGCCATTGGTTTTCAGAGCGTAGCCGATAAAGCAACTGCATTTAACCTTACTAGCCTATTGTAAACTAACGGTTTTGTAACACATAATTATATTTGATAGTATTTTTTTTACTGAGACTGTGCTCGATCTGCACTATTGCCAGTGGGCTCTAGTGCATGTAGCCTGTAATGTGGAACTTTGGTTTTTCGTCATTTGCAATTTTGGTAGCATTTTGGACAAGTTTATCATATCAATCGAATTGTCTGATCAGCGAATTGATCATTTGCGATTAGGTTATGTAAGAAGAAGAACAAGATTTATGGTCATTGTTCAACGTGAGATTTGATTTCGTGAGAGAACGGCATTAGGTATTAATTCAATTCAGTTACATAATAGAGAAGCATTCGAATGGCAATCTGAGCCCCAACGTGATCGTAGTCACCAGCAAGGTGTTCAGGATTAGGCCACACCGGATAGATCCCTGACAGAGAACAGATTGGTGTTGACTGTTAAAGCACCGATGTATGTTAGCTACATCCACGTTATTACATACAGTGTAAGATAATATTAATGTATTGGATGATGATTAGATTTTGTTTATGGCTTGTGGGAAACGTGCACAAATTGCTCCCCTCTGCGCGCCTAGGTGTATTGCATTCCTTGTTACCATGGTGACTTAGCATATTTCGGGCTGAGTCAGTTGTTATCCCACGAGACATTCATATGTTTTGCATTGTAATAGTATACAGCCTGAACCAAATGCAGCCAAATGTAGCCTTCCAATCAAATACCCTAGTTATTCTTATTTCGTTATCATGCAAAATAATGTATGTGGGACTGGATGATTGCCATGATGAATATGTTCATAAATAGATAGTGTCGGAGCCTTTTGCACGGTTTTAGTTGATAAATAGTCAATGCATCAGTTCAGTAGTCTTGCGGTGCTTCTTTCACGCGGCCGGAGCTGGCTGGCCACTGTGCTGTGGTGCTGAAACTGCTAGATAGGCAAGTTTGCCCGTCAGTTGCGTACGTGGAAAGACTTCGAATAACTTAAGGTAAATTATTTGATTGTTTTCTTTTAGGTGCTTGTTTTGTCTTAATCTGCTCTACTTTGTTAAACCAAACCATATTGCTACATTTCTGATTTGATCATCATCCATCCCTCATCCAGGCGAATTGCATTTATTTTTCCAGTCACACCCACACTGTGAATTCTGCTGTGACTAAACTGCAGCATCAGTCCCGATAGTGTTAAGATTGGCTTTACTGTGTTGTTGGTTAACACACAATATTGCACACCAGCTTGTAGTCCTTTGCATAGTTTTGGAAATAAATACTTTGCAGGCTATTGATGTATTTTGGAAATGTCTACTATCTTGTGTTTTGACTTGCCCTAAAACATGTTTTACTATGATCTGTAACGAATGAGTTGGAGCAGGTTACTTTACCCTCACTCTTCTAAAACAGTGACCCCAATCACATCAGGTAGGCTAAATGCTTTCCCTGATTATGTCTATTGTAATATGGGTGTGCCATGAGGGAGGGAGAGAGAGAGGGAGAAGGAGGAAGGGAGAGATAGAGAGAGAGAGAGAGAGAGAGAGAAGAGACAAATAGAGAGAGAGGTGGGGAGAGAATGATGGAGGGAGGTAGAAAGAGATGAAAAGAGAGAGAGAAAGGGAAACAGAGCAAGACAGAAACAGAGTGTTTCCATGTGGTGTGAGGCCAGCAGGAGGCCAAGCAGAGCTGTTATGTGGAAACAAGGTCACCAAGCCATTTGGCCCAGATGAGCCCTGAGGTAACCAGAACCTGTTCTAATGAGCCTGTCGGCCCGTGGAGGGGAGCATTCTGGGAGGGTTATGACTTTGCATGTCTCAGTCCTCCTTTTGTCAGTATTGGGAGGTGGCCTTAGTGGAAAGGGGCCAGGAGAATGGGGACCAGCACTACTGACAGCTGCACTATACCCCACCAGCACCTACATGATTCTTGGAATAGGCCTGAAGCATTCTGCTAATCTATATTCCACTGTATATGACCACAAATCTGTCTGCGCCAGACACCACAGATCACAATATGGTGTCAGATATCACACACTCATAGACGCACACACACAAACTCCAACAGACACAACATTCTGAGAGGACAACAGTACAATTATCTGAGGACACAGTTCCAAAGGCACTCTATTGTCTGACTGGCTGATGAACGTGTTGATCCCGGGTCAACATAATAACGATTTTTCATGTATGGCTTGAAGAAACCAGCATGTGCAGTTCTATTCTGTACTCTGAACTGAAACTGCTGAAACATTTGGATCCCTGTTCTCCCAGGGTCACATACAGTAGGCTCATGTAGTCTCTGCTATGAGGCTAGCCCAGTCCTGCAAGGCTATAGCACCATAGCATCCAATTACTTTATGATAGGAATTACCCCATAATTGAATCAGGGGTGAGTACAGTAAGGGCTGAGTATGACAAGACGTACTGTAGGTATATTGAATTGGCCTGTTTAGCATTGTGTGGCTAATTTGATTGGTCTCTTTGATTAGATTAACCTGAGCTGAGTCATGCTGCTGGCTGCCATGTGAGTTCATCTTTAATAAAGTGGAGGTTTCTGTTGTTGTTAGAAACAGCAGCTAGGCTAAGCCCGGTTGTCTCTCACTGTTATGAAGCACCCAGTGATGTGATGCTGTACAGGTGAGTCCTAAATGGCACCCTATTCCCTAAATAGTGCACCACATTTGACCAGAGCCCTATGGGACGGTCGAAAATCCCAACAATGCCACCCTCTTGGAGGTTTGTCAGAGCAGCAAGTGACCATTCCAAAGGAGTATGTATCATGTACGGATGTATCTCTAAGCTATACATGGCTCTGCTTTGAGCGATTGGAACTACATCTGTCAGACTACTTAACTCAAGGTGAAGCCAGGATTTCAATCAACCATCCCAACAGGAAATTACTGCTAACCAGAGAAGCTGGTTGACACTTCCATTTCACACTGTGCACACAAACACAGAATGAATAGAATCCAGTACAAGCAAATGAAGGATTAGTATGGCAGGCTGCGAAGTGAATGTTTGGGAGAGAGCCGTGTGTGTGTGTTTGTGTGTGTGTGTGTGTGTGTGCATGCTTGCATGCGTGTTTGCGTGCATGTTTGTGTGCGTGGGTGCATGCGTGTGCTTGCAACGATATCTGTGTGTGTGTGTGCGCGACGGTGTGTGTGTGTGTTGTGTGTGTTGCCTGCCTGCTCGTCAGTCCAGCAGCTCTCTCATTAGATTAGTTTGTTTCGTTTGCTCATCACTCAGGCACAGCTTAACAACAGTCACATCTGTTATCTCCCTGTCACACACAGACACACACACTCTCTCTCACACACACACATACAGACACACACACCTCTCCCTTCCTTATACACACTCCCCTCTATTTCTCCTCATTCATTCTCTGTCAAACTCTAGCATACTGTCATCTTTTCTCAAACATTTTCACTTACTGAAGCCCTCCTTTGCCTCTCTATCTCACACACACAGTCACACAGTGTGTTTTAAGTTCAGATGTACTGGTTGTCAGTGCTCCCTTCAGATGGCTGTTACAGTGTTTTGTGGAAGGCATGAACCTTACCTTTGTGAGTGGTGCTCTTTGGCTCTCTAAAATGAGGTCAGATGGAAAGAGATGTATACTTTCTCTGTGTGTGCGTGTGTGCGCGTGCGAGTGCATTTGTGTGACAGACATATTTGGTATACTGTAGCTTTGACTGTTGACCCCTACAGCAGTGGTATTCAACCTTTTTCAGCAGGAACCCTCTTTTTTTCTACCAGAATTTCTGGGGACCCCTTATTAAAATGAATAAGTACATTTACTCAATCAAATTATCTTTCTCAAAAATGTTTGTATATTGTCCCATACAATAATCTGTACTCTTAAAGATGCACTATGCAGAAATTGCTCCGCCATTTCCCGCAAAAATTCTAATATTTAGCCTAATTTCAGTTTATGTGACAAAACAAGCAAGTATAGTGCTATGAAATATATTTTCCATAATCAAAAATATTGTATTTTCAGCTGTTTGAAGCTGGTGTACAAAACCAAAAGTAAAAGAGGCAAAAAAAAAAAAAGTATCAAATGTGAAGCATAGAAATAGTGCACATAGAACAGATCTACTGCTTCTAAGAATTTAAATGAGAATGACAGATCTATAACTCACATTTCTATGTGAATTTTGTCGGTCGCCCAAAAAGTAACATATTGCGGTTGCACATTTTGGCGACCCCACTGCAGTTCCCCCGCTTTGAATACCACCACTAGTATTGTGAAAAAAATCAAATCAGACAGTGGAGCCTTTCATCTGTGTGTGATTAAATTTGATCTGTTTTTGGTTTAGTTTAATCACATCTTTTGTACACTCCATATAGGATGGCTATCCTCATTGTTGATCTGTCTTACACAGTATTTGGTTTATCTTGTAATGTAATGTCTGTGATACACTGTGCATTTTACAGGTGTGGCCTACTGTGCAGTAGTTAGTTATCCTGTCCTGGGCAGCTGAATGCTGTGTGTGCAGACTGAGGCGTGGGACAGGGGACACTGATGGCTAGATCTCCATTAAAGGACATGGGCTGAATGTAAATAGCCTGTATGGGCTGCAGGGGACATGAATTTGAAGCTAGTTTCATACACATACACATGCAGTACACGCTCACAAACACACTCAAATATGCAACACATTCACGCAAGCATGCACACACACACACACTCCATTTAACACATGACTCCTTTCCTCAGCACCAAAAATTCGGACAACCTCTTTACAATGTTACGGGAACATTCTTTCCAATTCCCAGATGCCTGGTATAAGTGTATAAGCATTACAAGCCCATTGCAGTAGCATATTGCAGTTGAGGGACAGTAATGTTGAGTTCTCTCCCTCCCTCCTTCCCTGCTTCTTTCTCCCTCCCTCCCTCCCCCCCCTCCCTCCCTCCTGCTCTCTGTAATCACTCCTGTCCCAGAGAGTACAATCAATACAGCCAGA